TTCAAATTATGACAAGGGGATGTAGCTCATATGGTAGAGCGCTCGCTTAGCATGCGAGAGGTATTGGGATCGATGCCCAACTTCTCCAGTGATTGAATTTTTTTTTCATATTCCTATTCGATAGTTTGAGAAATTATCTCGTAAATTTGATTGTTCGCACGAGTTATGATTGACTGATTACATAAAAAAATTGTTCTGATTGACGTTTTGTTGAGCGAGGACACATTTCCACATGATTAATTGAAACAAAAGAAAAGAATACATCTATTATGAATGAAAAAATCAATGAAGCATTAAAATAAACGAAATATTTCAATGAATATATGAGAGAATAGTATAAAACCAATAAAGATGATGGCTTTGCATGATGATGAACATGTGACAAATTCTTTAATTCCGCATCTTGCGATCTTTCGAGCATACGAGAATATCTCAATGAAATCGTCATCATAAGGTTACTAAAATGTGATTAAATCTTCATCTGTTTTCGACGTGGATGTGAGTATTCTTATTTCTTAGTGCACATAGCCCACACAAATATACTCAAGAATAAATATTACTAAAAGAATACAAACATTTACAAATAATGTGCAAAGATTTTTTGATTTTACAACAATTTTTTTCTAGCAAAACCAGTAATCACATTGGAAAAACTCGGAAACGCTTTTGACTAGTATATGTATTACTGATTTTTATGAAGAATAAAGATTTGATGATATTGGAATGAATATTCGCATTCATAGCGATATCTCTCTTATGATAACGGAGCACTCCACTATTTTAATAACATGCTCACATCAAATCATATGTATAGCGTCGTTATAGTCAATAAGTTTCGAATACTAATTCAAATATCTAACATAAAAATGCTAGCATAGAGAAAGTTTTGTCCTGTAGAATACGAAATCGAGAAATGATCTCAAACAAAAACCATAACATTATTCTAAACAATTCTAACAAAAATAATATTATCTTCTTCTGATTGAGGTCCAATGATAGATAGAAAGAAAAGCTTTTATTGTTATCTAACAGATATGCCCTATTGTAAAAAATTCGGTTTTGATTCCTATTCTAATGGATATGGTAATGTAATAGAAAATTAAAGAATTCCAAGCACACAACTCGTGATTAAAAATATCTTAGGAAAAAATGCACAAAGAAAAATGAATCAATGCATAATTCAATTGCACATCACAAAATTCATCTTATTGTTGAACGAGATTGATTATTTTAGAACAGTTCAATATTTTCTTCACGTATTCAACATGAAAATAATATATATATTCCAATAAAATCTGTCTCTCTATTTTGTGAAACACGATTTGAAAAAAAGTTGCATCACTTCCTACACTCTCCTCTAGACCGTGGCAGATAATTTTATTAATTCGCTAATTACGTGATTACTCATCGTAGATTGTGACAGACGAGTTATCTCATAAAATCAGCAAAAACTCCACTGTATAAACTATCTTCTCGTGATTAACTGTACTGACTATATCGTGTTTCACATTTTTAATCCCACAGAGATTGTGCTAACAGATTTTCATCGCTGAATCACTCAGGACAACTGAGAAGAGCATATTAGTCATCAATCCATTGATAAAACAGTCAATGTACGATTGTATGATAAATAGTGATACTATTCCTTCATGAATTTTTGCTGCAAACAATGACAATCAAACTTTCTTAGAATAATTTCATAGACAAGTCAGACCGACTAATTAACTACTTGAAAATATTAATAAACGTCAATTTTCTTAAGTATAGCATAGCAACTTTGAAAGACAAAAGACTGGGCCATATCCTTTCCCTTACTCAACATAATAAACTAAATTAAAATAAAATAAAATCATTTATTTTTCTGAATTTAACAAGATAATTAAGAAATTAATTAATTAAAATCATTTTGTTGAAACATTTTACTTTCTTATTATCAATCAATAAATATTTTTCTAAATCGATCATTTACTCTAATATTGATTATCATTGAGAAGAAAAGATATCTGCTATTTTTATTTAATAAAAATTTCCATATTAGATTAACCATATGAAGCAGAAAAAATATCTATTGAAGAGAAAATATTCTTTGTTAATCTTCTAGTACAAGAGTCAATCAATGAAAAACAACTTCAAAGCTTCTTTTTTTTACTATAGAGGCTTTACACTGAAAATAAAAGTCATATTCTTTTTTCCTGGAATCATTTCTTTCTTTATTGCAATTTCAATATATCATTAGATTAAAAAAAGATAGGATCAAAAATAATTGATAAAATATTTCAGATTAACTTTGGAGTTTTTTCTTGTTTCTTTTTATTTGTTACAGAGTTTTTGTGGGAATTAAAAATAAAATAAAGTGCAGATAGATAAGAATATTTTTTAAGAATAATTCATTAGTTCTTAATAGAATTTCATTGGTTTGAAACAAATATTTTTCTAAAGAACTAAAAATGATCGAACATTTATAAAAAAAATATATTTTTAAATGTTGCTTTTTTGTTTTCTTTCTGACTGTTGTTTGAACATTAAAATACTTGATCATTTACTTTGAATAGAGAACGGTTGACTAATAAAATTATAAATAAAACTCGGTAGAAGATTCAAACTTCTAAATGCATATTATATTTTCTGATTAAATAATTAAAATAATAGCCTGATCAAAGTAGTGATTCAATTGAAAAAATTTCTATGACATCGACTGTATATTTCTTGGTTGATTAGAGAATCTATTATGTTTAAATATAAATAATTTTTATTTTCTTATCAGTACATGTTAAAACTGATTGGTATTTGTTAAATTAAAGTTTTTTGTCGCATATTACAATGGAAATAGAAGCAAATAATTGACTGACATGAAGTAACCAGGAACGCTAATAGAAATAAAAGCATCATCATATATAATATATGAGTACATGTATCAATTGAGCACAATATTTTTAAAATCAAAAAAAAAGTTATTACATAAATCTATCAAGAAAAATAATTAGAAGTTTTATTTTTATCATTGAAATTTGATATAGCTGCTAAAATTCCTACGAGAATCAAATTTAAATATAGATTCAACTTATCTTTTCATAGAATAAACGAGCGAAATATGATAATAACTAAACAATGTCACGTATAATTATAATTTTTTGCTCGAAAGCGTCTCTTTGATATTTTATATTGAGAAAAAATAATCAACGGTAGAAAAAAAAGAAACTCAGGAATATATTGTCTCGAGTTATTTAACAAACTGAAGTTCTTCACGATTCTTCTCATGCATTATTTTTTTGTACGTTACAAAAATAAAGAGAAATTCCATCAAAACTCGAATTGGTAAGTTTGAAAATTCTTTCTTTCGATAATATAGTTGAAAAATTACTGTCTATGATCATTAACCTTATAAAAATGTTTTATTAAAACTGATCTTAGATTATCAATTAAATGAATATAAAAATCAAATAAATGATTACTAAATATTATCTATAATAATCGTAGTACAAAAAATTAAATTTAACTAAAATATTAACGTAACTGATAATGATTATATTTAACGATTAACCCTTACTTCTAAGTTATCAAAAAAATATATTTCAAAGAATTATTAAAGTTTATTTATCATGCTAAAAAATATATTAATAACTAAGAGAGAATAGTTCTTATTTTTTCATTTAGAAAAATACAAGCTGTTGTTGATTATCTCTTCGTTCGGTAGTTGTCTTTTTTTGTTGAAACAATCCCAAGAGAAAACGAAGTAACGGGACTGTTAAGTTCTATCCATCGCCAACTGTTGAATCTATCAATATGATTAGATCATCTCTAGAAATGACGATCGACAACATCGAAATAAACAAAACAGTGATCGGTGTCTTTTATGACCTTTTAAGTACTATTGAACAAGAATATTACACACAAATTTTTATTAGTAAGCATTTTTTATTGAAAAAAGATATGAAACAAGTAGAAATATTCTTTATACAAGAAAATGTTAATAACACATTATCAAGTTCTTCTTAGATTTTTTATTTAGAGCTCTTGAATTGTTACAATGCATTTCCATTCATTCTTTTCTCGACTTTAATCATAGACAGACGAAAGAAAGAAAAATGTTCTTCTTTGTCACTATCGATCCCAGAAATGCAGCACCACTGGTGCTGTTTACGAGCAAACTTTTTGTCTCTTTTTCTTAGTAATGTCAGAATCAATCCAATTTATTTGCACTAAAATAGGGAAACAAATATAGAGAAGAACAATATGCTGACAGAGAAATGCAAAAGAAAAAGTAAGAAAGAAGTCTATCGTTCACTATTCATAAGCGAATATTAATTCAAATATTGATAGTTTGTACCTCTTATCATCAGATATCCTGGATGACACAAGTTCTTAACAATTATTTTACTGTTAATGGTAAGCGATAATAAGTCAACCAGAAATCAATATGAATTGATCAAAATCAGGCAAGCGGAAGTTGAAAACATAAATACGTATCATGCAGATACTTTGATTAACATTTCATACTTAAAAGAAATACGACTAATTTTCAATGTAGTCTGTTAGGTATAAAACAAGTAAGTCTTGGCACAGCATGCTGAGTTTTTCTTCCTGATAAAGTACATGTTTTTAAGACTGAATAGCTTAATTTAATCTTTATTGTCATGATCATATAAAACATAGCTTTGTCTCTATATTGTAATACATCATTTGTATGATAATTACAATAGTAATAATCATGATATATGTCTCGTGTTTTTAATAGAATAGATTACAAGAAGAAGAAAAAAAAGCATAATTTTTGTCTTTAGAGATGATTATTATATGAAGAACTAATGTTTGGAGAAAATTTCTCGTCGTCTACAGTTAAAAGAATGTTATTTGTGAAAAGCAACTTTATTCCTGGCCCATCTAGTCATCTGTCTTATTTGATCAATCAGAGTAACGATAGAAGCAACGGCGTCAATAACCACCACACTTATTTTTTCTCTCCACCGACTGATGATCATTACGGGAATAGCGATTTATTTATGTTTGAAACAAACCATACAATATTTTTTTCATCCCCATTGGATTATTCATTTTCAAATTCTTCTCATTCATCATCATCTCCAATGTTTATTTCCATATTTCTTGGAATTATTCTTTTTACAATAACTATTTGGACTATATTGGGAAATATTTTAGTTATACTTGCGTTTATTATTGATAAACAAATTCGACAAGGTGGAATGTCAAATTATTTGATTATTAATTTAGCAATAAGTGATCTTTTATTGGGTGTTGCTGTTTTACCCTTTTCAGCTTCCTATTCAACATTTGGTATTTGGTATTTTGGAAAATTTCTTTGTGAAATATGGTTAGCAATTGATGTTCTTTGTTCAACAGCATCAATTTGGGTAAGTCAATTATCATAATTAGAAATTATTCTGTTATTTAAAAAAAACTTTTATTCTATATAGGGTCTGTTAATGATTGCATTTGATCGATATATAGCAACAAACTATCCAATTCGTTATTGTCATCATCGTCGTTCAATTCGTTTAGCATTAAGTTATATATGTGTTGCATGGTTTGTGTCAATAGCAATATGTTTATTACCAACATTGTTGTTTGAGAAAAAAAAACCAATTTATTCTGAAATTGAAAATCGAACAATCTATGTTTTGCCAACAAAATATACATCATCAAATCGTCAATGTGAATTATATAAAGATTTGAATTTTGTTGTCACAAGTTCTTTACTTTCGTTTTATATTCCATTAATTATTATGATATTTTTATATGCGAAAGTGTTATATGCAATAAGACAACAATCTATAAAAATGAAAAAAAAACCACTACCACCACCGCCACCACCAACAGCAAAAGCAGCAACAATTGTCCTTACCAATAAAAACAATCGAACAACAACAACATCCGGTAAAGAAAGAAAATGTTTTGTTTTTGTTTTTGTTTTTCAAATATTGAATATCTATCTATACATAGACCGAATAAAAAAAGCAAGACATTCATCAGCATGTCTTCATGAAGCATCGAAAAATGTATCATCGATTCCATTTTATTTGGATTCAATAAAAAAAATACATGACACTACATTGGATCATAATCGATCGTGTTTGAATGGTTCATACTCAAAATTATTTCTTCAACCCAATCAATCTGAAAATTCTTATCAAAGTTCATTAACAACTGATGATGCTTCTCACTGTGATCAACATCAATTAAGACGTCGAGAAATAACAGCTGAAGCTCGTGTTACTCGTTCGTTAGCTGTTGTTATTGGATGTTTCATATGTTGTTGGTTGCCGTTCTTTACTTTATATATTATTCGAGCCGTTTGTCTTTGTTTAAGTTTTAACGCTATTGAATTTTTCGTCTGGTTGGGATATTCAAATTCATCGATTAATCCTGTACTTTATGCAATTTTAAACAAGAACTTTCGTTTAGCATTTAAAAATATTTTTCTTTCGGTAAAAAAAATTCTTTTTGTATAAGAAAATCAAAAATTATGAAGTGTGAAAATATCTGGTGATATAACTAAAACTAGAATTTCTTACTGTCGTGTTATCATTGAACTATTAAGCAAAAATTTATCAGAAATAAATAACAAATATTTTCATGTCTATGATGAGAATTATAGCTAATAGATATAATTAACATGATATTATCGCTTATTTTCAGTTATGCAAAGATTTTGAATAAATTTTCTTTTTCTTTTTCTTTATCATTGACATAATTCTCCTGAAAAGAGTCTTTGAGTAGATTCTTTTTTTCGATATTTGTTCTATTTCAATTACAAATATAATATCGGTAGGGGTCTAAATACAATGATTGATATGCAAATAAAGACGGAATTTCTCATAAATATCACGTATACTATCACCTTGAATGATTTCGAGATGATTTTTTTTCATTTTTATTTTTCATTTTATTTAGCCTTGTTTCGGTCACGCCATGCAGAAACTCCATTGGTATAATGATTATCTATAGAAAAAGAATAAGTTATGATTAATTGACTCTGCGTGTTCTTTCTCTCTCGTTTTGCGTTTATGATTATTATTATTATTATCATCATCAATAAGATCATAAAGCAAACTAAGAAACATGCACCAGATGTTTAATAGATAAGCTTACTTCATCAAACCAAAAACAATATTTTTCTTATTAGCTGTTAATCTTATTGATTCTTATTTGAAGAAATATTTTTTCTAGCTTTTGTCTCTCGTTGTCGACTAATTCAATTTTGTTAGATACAAGAAAAGGCCTTATGTTTTAACACTAATCTGTAGAAACGACAAATATTCTGACATCTATTATTATATTATATGTGCTAAGACGATCAATAAGGGAAACGTAGTTCGTTAACAAGAATATCCTTTCAATAGCATAGAAAATATCATCATCTACATATAAATACTTCGTGTTTCGTTTCTTCTGTACAATCAGTTTCATTTGTTTTGACCTCGGATAAAAGAAGATAAGACATAAAATATATAAATATATATAATAACAGTCATCATTAACTTTGTAAATCTATTCAATTTTATTCATTGTTTCTTTTGTTCAATCCACAGAAAGCTTTTTTTCTTATTTGAAAAGAATTTATTTATGTACTCTTATGGAAAATTAGTGTCATTTATAGAAAAGTATTCTATCAGTGCCTTTTCTTCTCTTATAAATTTACGTGATAAAACAAATTTTATATAAAAAGAAAAAAAAACGATCTGCTTTTCTTGTCAGGCTCATCAAATTGTTTATGTCATTGAAAATAGAGAGGCCAAAGTGACACACACTTTACAAGGCGAGAAAAAACTCAACTGAACTACATATGAAGTTTGTCTTTGACAAATATCGATTTGAAACTACACATAAATACTTGATATTTATGAACACTTATCAAAACATTTAGTAAGAATTATGCAGACAGACACTCGTTATCACGTCTAAAAATTTTTTTTTACAATAATTAATCCAGTCGCTTCTATTTGATAAAAACAAATTTCGGAATTTTTTAATAATTACTTAATTTTACGCATTTTCAATATTGATTTGCGTCGAACCGATGAAATAGTTGTTTAAATCTAACTTAAATCATATTGAAATTCTAATTGTTTGTCTCATCAATCATCGATCATCAAATACTTTCTCGAAGCAAAACGTAATCTATGATTTATGAATTCATAAAGAATTCGATAAACTATTTTGTACTGAAACAACAATTTAGATTTCGAGTATAATTTAATAAGTAAATAGAATAAATTCTTTTATTTCGGACAGAATTAATTCTGGGGAAAACTTTGAATTGCAATATATTATTAATGATAAATAATATGTCTTAATAAGAAATTTTTTATTTTAAACAATTTTAATTTGAACTTCAAGATTAATATCGACAAGAAAAGTCATGAAATTCTATTGAATTTACCATTTGAAAAAGATTTGATAAAATAGATATTATAACGAAAATCTGACTTCCATCAGTTCAGCCATGATATTTGCCAATATATTTATATATTTCACAAAAAGAAAAGAAAAAAAACAAGATAATATAACTGATATGAAACTGAACTAATCATCATAATTATCATCATCAGTTCTTGATGCTTCCATTTTCTTTCGTAAAACTTCTTTTGATAGTTCTTGTGTTCGTGCCCAATCATCTTCTTCTAATTGTTGTAATTCTTCGCGAGCCTAAGTGTAAAATAATATTTAACAAAAAAATAAAAATTTTGATCCAAGAAATAAATAAACCTGTTCAAATAAAATTTCTTGTTGTCGTCTCAATTCTTCTTGAGTATAAATTGACGTTGGTTTTCCATGAAGTTTTTTTCGTTTCTGTGCCATTTCTTCTTGTGCTGTTTCCATTGCATTTAAACATTTTGCTTTATAGGAATTAAAACCTAAATTATCTAAAGCTAAATAAAAAAATACAGAAATTTAGTTAGGAAATAAAAATTAAATTAAAAATATCTTCACCAGTAACAATATGATCAGGATGAATGAGTTTCTTTGCTTGTTGTTCACAGACAGCATTTGCCTGTAAAGCTAGCGTATGAATAAATTCATTACAGCATTGAACAAATAATTCCTTAGCTTCGCCTGAAACACGAATTTGTGGTGTACAATCTTTTATCATTTTATATACAGCAGCTCGAGGAACACACTTATCGTCTTCTTCACCACCACTACCACCATTATTTGGAGAGCACATCATCTAAAAAATTGATTTCAAAACTTATTTTAATAGATTTCGACAAAACAAGAATATTTTTATGCAATCATTCTTTTACAATTAACTTCTATTTTATCAAATTTTCTCTCCATTCAAGTTCTGTTTATATGAAATTGAAATATAATTCATAAAATTAACAAATCGATTTAAAAGTTTGAAAAAAAAATTCAAAACAAAGACAAAGAATGATTCATTAATAAAAATAAATTTAATCCGTGTAAATATTCTGCATTTGATATTGATTAAGATCTATGCCTATGATCTTAAATGTGCCATTTTTATTTTATATCTATAAATACATAAAAAGATAAGTAATGATAAACAAATAAATCAGAATCTACTAATTTAAAAAATCATCGTTACACTAATAGACTGAAGTTTTCCTCTCATATACATCGAACGAACACAATTTGTTTTAGATGCATAATTTTATTCATTATAAAATTTAAGGATTTATTCTACAATGAGTAAAACAAATCTAACGACGATTTTTTCCTTCTATTAAAATTCTTATATCGAATAGAAATAATCTTACGCAAAAAGGATAGCTAGTAAATTAATTAATTTATCGATTGCTTAATAAAACAAATAAACAACTTGAACAGTTTCGTTATTTTTTATTCTAATCTCAAAGATCAAAGTTTAATTTAGAGAACAGAAAATATTCATATGAAAAATAATTAATTAAACAATAGATTGTAAACTTTCTAAAAGAATTTAAAAATAACGTTTATATTTGTTAATCTAATTCTTCTATTTGTTCATTTATTAATCAGTTTAACTTTTCAATAGATGAAAAACAAACAAAAATTAACAAAAAGCGAAAAACGTAAAAAATTAAACTGAATAATACTAGAAAAGTACAAAAAGAAATATTAAAGAAAACTTGAGAATTTTTTTATATGACTATAATCGAAATCGGACGAGTTAGCTAAATTTTTTTCAATTAATTATTAGCTATAGGATGAAAATTAGAACAAGGAAATAAATGCATCGATAGAAATCCTAATGGTGTACCGAATAACCAAATTTTCCAATAAAACGAACGTCCTCGTTCACTTAATACAAATGGTAATGTTGTTAATGTTAGAAAAATACAAGAATATATTGTTTCTCGTAATGGTAATTCAATTTCAATTGGTTTATCATTTCTATCTGAGTTAAATACTACCGTTTCACATTTTTTATATTGTTGAAAATCATAAAAATTTTTTAGTAATCTAAAAGAAAAGCAAAGAAAACTTTTTATTCCGCTGAACGAACTTAGTTCGGTTTATTTTTTACTTGTCTTTCAAATGAAATCGTTGATAAAGCCAATTTGATATTTGTTCATCAGTTTCACTTGGAACTTCATTCATTTCTATTCGTCTTATATCAACATGTAATTCACTTGTTTGACCTTGTAAATACTCTAAAATAAATTTAAAATAAATTAACAAAAACTCTTTATTATCAATAAGCTCGAGTTATCCAATAGATTTCACTGAGAATAAACTAAAAAATCTTTGAATTTTTCTTACTATTCAACTTCATTAGTCGAATGAAGACAACTAGAATATCTCTTCAGAGATATCATATGAAAACAGAGTTTACTTGAAAATATAATATCATGACAGAGACAACTCTATTTTTCGATTCAATGTTCATAAAAATCTATCAATCATCACCGCAACGATGCACGACACATATTGAAACATACTTCGAGATTCTAATCAAATGCTTTAAATGCTATTTCAAAGATTGATGTAGATCACGTTACTTTTGAAGTTTTCTTTCTGGGCTTAGTTAAATGTAGTTCTGGTCTGATAAAATACTAAATAGCTGATATAATCATTCGTATGATTCATCTGTAAGAATGATATCATTAGCTAAGTTTCGATTGCAAAGTCTTAAAGTGATGTGTGTTTCATAGAAACAGTTTGAAATATCAAATGAACAGATATGAACTCTGGAGAAATTACTTTGGTAGTTGTTGATCATTATAATGACTACTGATTCTATTTAAACGAAATAGCCACTGTTGATAAATTAAAAAAAGGACTAGAAACGATTTAACCTTTCCTTATCTGTAACTTATTTAATGAACTGTTGAGTTGTCACTTGAACATTATCTAACAGATTACCGAAGAGAATTTTTCTCAATTTTTGTTTCTGTCAAATACACGATAGCTGCTGTTTGTATATTAAAATATTACTCTAGTATATTTATAAAACTTATTGGAAGTCATCAAGATTTAGATTTTATTTTGTTATTCATCGTGAACAAATCAATGAATACTTTAAATTTTCAGTCGAATGGATTCGTAAAAGATCCTGAATACAAAAAGAAGTAGTATCGATTACAATAGATTAGTTTTAATCTTTGAGAGATATTTATGAAGATATTTTAGGATATATGATTTGTTTACCAGACATTGACGGCGCAGCTAAACGAATTTTTTGATCGATATCATAAGTTTGATTATACATAACAGTTATATCATAGACGGCATCTAATTTATGTTTAAGTGCTTTTATAGCAGCTACTGTTGCGCCCGATCGAGGATAAAGTACATGATCAAATGGTGATAAACCTGAATTATCAAATGCACGTCAAGGTTAAATTAAAACAGAAGTTTTTTTGCTTTTTATTTTCAAACCTTTATCGTGTGCAAATAGACGTGATCGTTCGATAGCATATTGATTATTAACTGGATTATATCGTGTACCTTCAGGGAAAATGACCAACCAAACAGGTAAACCATTGCATTCAACTTGTTTCATTCCTTTTTGTACTCGATCTAAATCTTCTTTATCATTTCGACGAACATAAATACAGCCATGCTAATGAGAATCAAAAATTTTTCAACTAACTAATTTATTTATTTTTTCTTATCTATTTACTTGTTGAAAATAAAAACCATACAGTGGAATCCATTTTAAATCACTTTTAAGAACATATCGAATATGCCCAAGACTACCTTGATGAATTGCTAACATATTTGAAACAATCCAATCGACTAAATATTTCATTTTATTCTATTTAATAAGAAAAAATAAAGAAAACACAAAACATTTACCTGAACTTTGATGATTTGATATGTAAAGAACATTTTCTTTTTTTCTGAATATTTCTGCATAATCGCCATGTAAATATATCTAAACAAAGAAATTTCTTTCATTAAATTTTTTCCTGGATAAAATAAATATTCAGAATCAAATTGTTGATATTAGAGAATAACAGTAAAGGTTTTACTCTGATTAAATCAATTTTTTTCCAAATAAAAATTTTTTCGTTTTCATTTCCTTCTATAGCATAGATATTTATATCAATGAATAGTAAATTCTTCTAGGTTAAATGATAGATTATATTTTGTTAGAATTGATTAGTTCAAATAAAAATCTCACCAGAAATTATTTTCTTCGTTCGAATTAGTAAACGAAACTAGATTCGATTATTATCTGAGCATAGTTAAAATATGAGTCAATCTATAATCATTCAAGTGAACAAATTAACATAAAAAACAAATTGAAGATTGATTCAAGAATTAAATCAACAGAAAAATATGATGATAATTTTTATGTTTATTATTCTTAATGATAGCATCAAAAATTAAAATTAAAATATTGAATTACATTCTTTTCAAAATCATAGATTAAATTCTTTTTTTTACATTCAATTAATTAAAATCATTTAGATTTAATACGAACTTTTTAGAATCAAATATAAATTTTGGAAATATGATACGAATCATTTCTTTATTTTAATACTACAATTTTCATCATTTGATTTATTTCTAAAAAAGGATTTAATAATTTCTCGAAATATTGAAAGGTATCGCCAGATAGTAGAAATGAAATCGACCTTGCTGAATTCAGAAATTAACTTATAATTTTTCTACTTAAGAAATACTGATATTAATATTTGAAAACAAAAATAGGATGAAAAGAAAGAAAATAATAATTAAACTTACTTTAACATTAACCCAATTTTGAAAGAAGAAAAGTATTAATCTTTGATACATTGAATATAAATGATCATCACAACGACGATAAATATGAGGTGGGAATAGAGCATATGTAACCGATCGTATTAAAAACCAAAAAGTAATAACAGTCGGTGCTGTTCCAAATAGAGTTACCACTGGAAGACCAAATCGTAATGAATTGATTGTTAGAAGAAAGACTGTTAACATTATCTTAATTTTTATCTGAAACGAAAGCAAATTTATTCTTTATGAAAAAATTCTTTTATAGAAAATGTTTTTTGTAATTCTTTTAAATGTTCTTTTAAATGTGATGACATTCTTAATTGTCTTGTTCTACGTCTTGTCATTTTTTCTGATTTATTATTAACTGTTTGATTAATTGAATTTATTGTTTTCTTTTTTTTCATTGATAATGGATTAATTCCATGTTTTTTCTTTGTCTTTTTTTCACCATTATTTTCGTCTTGATCCAGATTAAGTTCATGCTTTCTTTTTTTTAAAACATTCGATTCATGTTTACTTAAATTAGTTCGTTCCTTTTTCTTTTCTTCAACAATTGAACGAGAATTTAATGATGGACGTTCTAAATTTATTGCATTATGTGTTATTAGCATTGTTGGCAAATCTGGACGATGATTGTGACAATATTCTCGTAATGATAATGACTAAATATTTAAAAATAAAAATAAAAATTAACTATTATTTATTAATAAAAAAGATACTTGAGATGCAAGAAAATATTTTTTAGTTGTATCTTTAATTAAAATTTGTTGGAAACATTTTTCAGCTGATATCGATGGATAATGATTACATTTTACTATGTCATATTGTTTTAAGATTAACATTGCACCGAATCCAATTCCACCTAAATAAATAATTGAATTTATTTCACATCACATTCACCATTGATCTATGTGAAGTAACAAGAAAGAAAAGCTATTGATGAAGTTTAGTCGGATGACCAAATTAGTAGAAGAAATGAACGTCATCTAGGAATGATATAAAAAGAAATTCAAATGTTTCTCTCAAAAAAGAAAAAAAAATGTTAACCATCGACAAAACGAAAAAAAAATCGTTGAAATAGAACAAATTATTGTTCTCTTCTTACGATTAGATCACATAGAGAATTAATTTATATTTCTTTTCTGTTGTTTAAAATCCTTAGTTCTAATCAAAAATAAAACGATTGTTTATAATGAGAGAAGTGTAGTAACCGATTTTCAGTCTTTTAACATGATCTTTAATCTAGCTACGAACTTTTTCATTCGCCTCTACTAATAGTCTCAGAAAAAAAAGATGAAAATGAATTCAAACAAAATATGAATCTGAAAACGAACAAACTTAATCTAATATTTTCCATTTTCAAGCCAACGAAAAGGAAAATTCATGTATTTATTTTGTATGATTTTATAATTATACTCAATATGAGCAGATTCTACCAGATTCAACAGAGAAGCTTTGTCTAAAATATGACTGAAGGCACAAGAACTAATTTGATTTGAAACTAGTAAAAAAGCTGTTAGCACAATCCCTGTGAAATTAAAATGTGAAACACGTTGACATTCCTTTTCTGGAATCCGCCTATCGCGGTCAGTGATAGCCTGTGGAGTGTTTCTCTGTTACGCCCTGTATTATGATGTATGGGGTCTCTAGAAACCATCGCAGACTGTTACAGAAAAATTAATTAATTATTTTCTCTGTAACAGTCTGTGAGGGGGAAGGCTCCAAATTTCTACCCTGTATACTTCAACACTTCTTCCAGATCGTGTTTCACAAAAATAATCTTGTATATGATTAAAATCCAACAAAAAAAAACACTTACAGATTAAAAGAAATTACTCTTACTGGGATCGTATGTATCTTCAATGAATTGGTTTCATATTACTTCATTACGAATTTGTCGACTTAATTAGTCTGTTTATATATACATGGGATGCTTTCGTCGTCTGTAGGATCAATTTAAAATTTTCAAAATTCTATATTTTACTTGATCGCGATATGTAATACGGGTGGATCGAAACAACTCGATTAAAAACTTTATTGTTGTAAGGTTTATCTATTACCATCACACTATGCTTCATTTTTACTAATTCAGCAACTCATAAATCTGTTTTAGATTATAATAAATATATAATTTATGTTTAAATAAATGCGGAAACATTGGATTTGCATCCGATTGTTATGTGTACTGCAAGAACTGAGTCGATTTATATATGTTGTGAATAATGCTGAGAAAAAATTGTTTTTTGAAAAAATCCCTGTACCCCCTCCCCCCTCCTCAGGGATGGTCTGGTCAATAATGACAATTTTTTCGATACCTCGGACATTTCTTGACGGATCCCTCTCATCTTCGAACTCGACTGAGATATTGATGAGATCATTCTGTGTACAAAATTTCATGGCAATCTTGATCAGCCTTTCAGGAGTTATCGTGTAAACGGACGGACGGACACACTGACCGACTCTAGTGTACTCACTTTTTTTTTGAGTACACAAAAAGACGTGAATACGATAGTAACAAATGAATGATGATGCCAATACAGAAATACTCTTGCACCCTAACACTTAGCATGGATGATGCAACGCGTTTTCGTCCTAATCTAGCTTATTTACATGAAAATCTTCATAGAAATAAACCAATAAATTATTGATAACACCAAATCCCTCATACTCATATCATGTAATGTTTTTGTATGGCATTGATCATAGTTCGTTCACTGAAGTAAATGTCAAATAAGCAGCATTTCATTGGCAAAACATATTATTCATATTTCTCCAAGAGCTAGCTTGAGACGAAAATGCGAGTATCAATTCGAAAAGTTTTACATACAATGATTTTTCTCGTTAGGAACATCCCACCAATTATATTAACATCTTTTAATAATGAACGATTAGAGATATGTAAGTATATCAGCATGGATTAAGATGACATTTTTATTTTCATTTGTTCTCATGGACTCAATGTATTATTTATACCTTTGCTAATTTCTATTCTCAAAAGAATTATTTTTCTAATTGAAAACCATAAATAGAATTGGAGAAAAAGCTGTTTTTGATATATTTGCTGATATTTGTTGATATTAATGAATGAGATAATAAAAACTAATAATATTTAAAATTAAAGCTAAAATATTACCTAATAATTCAGTTTCTTTAATTGCACATAAAGTTGTTGAACAGATAATTTGCTCAGTTTCTAAATATGCTTTTAATTGTTCATCAATTTGTATTTTCCATTGAAGTGCTTCAAATGCAAATGTCCCATCAATTAAAATGATAAATGGAATTTCGATATCAAAGTGTGTTCGATAATAATTAAGTAAACGACGAATAAATTTATGACGTGATAATTTCATCTAGAAGGATTATTTCCTCTTAATTTTTACACAATAAAATCAATAAATCATATATTTATTATTCTATTAAGATCAATTGTGTTCTAATTTTTATGAATAAATATAAGATTCTAAATGCACGGAATGATCAAGAAAAGCAATTAGGAAAAAGAGATTCACTGGTCAGATTTTTGACGTTTACGTAAAATGACAAGTATTGGATGATGAAGATCACTTGAATAATGTTTATTTATTTGTTTAGCCTATTTTATTAATAAGAAATAAATAAATAAATAAATAAATAAATAAAGCAATATTTTTATTTACTTCTAAATGTTTATTGAAAACATCTTCATCATAATGTTCAAAAACACTACATTCAAAAGGATATGTTTCAGCAATTGAAACAAATCTATTTAAACTTTTTGAACGGTATGGAGCAAAATTTATTGCCATACCCTTAAGAAGTAAAACATTTTAGAGAATAAGTAAACAAAACGAAAAGAAAATGTTCTACCGAATCTTTTAGCATATAATAAATAGTATGACACAAATCATGATGAAGATCTTCAAAAAAGAAACTAAAATTACAAAGGATTAAATTGAAAACAAATAATATTTTTAAATCATTTTGAAAAATCACCAATCAGCCGAAATAATAAAATCGAAGCGTTCTTTTAATAATGGATCATTTAATTGACGTGTCCATATAAGTACGCGGGATTCTATCGAACACAACCAATTATGTTCATTATTTTTTGCTCTTAAAATTGCATTTAAATCTTGAGAATAGCAAAATAGTAATTAAAAATCAATTCAACTCTCGAATAAATACTAGCAATGCTCTTTTCATTTCCATCTGTAGCAACAAGCTCTTTGAGCGAAATCGATCGCGCCAACTGCGATTAATAAACATGCAAAAAATGATTATTTATCATGCCGAATAATGTTATTGATTAAATAATTTTCATTCAATAATAATAAGAAAAGAAAAGAAAAGAAAGAAAAAAGCAAATACTTACAGAAAGACCAGCTAAACATGTCATACCACCACCAAGTTCACAAACGCTTTTATTTCTAAAAAAAAATTTTTATTGATTTATTTATTTACTGAGATTTAATACAGTATTTTACTCGAATATTTCTTTTTCTTTTAAACAATAGAAAGCAAGAACTTCCTCTGATGGCCATATACCTTCACAAATAATTCATAAAAAATAAAAGAAAATTATTCTTGAAAATAAAACATACATGTATTGCCTGTATTATTGAAGCCAATTAGATCTGCATAATCGATCTTTGTTGAACACAAGCTTTTATAAAACAAAAACCACAGATCAGTGAAATGAAGAAGTTTTTATATTAGTTTTTTTAAAAGTCTAACCGAATATCTAACGAAAGAATATTTGATTGATTATCTTCAAATGAAGGAAATTCAATTTTACACCATGTTCCATCATCGTGATCATTTGACGGTAATGAACTTCTTACATATAAACCAAATGTTTTAAAACGCATTACGGATATATCTTCATGATCGCAAGATGATCGAAGATTTTTGCTCAGAAGAATCTATTGCAAATTTTTGTAATTAAATTTAAAAAAAAAAGATTTCCTATTTTATTAAAGATAACCTCGCCAAGCATGCGCCATCGTTGTCTTGCTAATGCTGTCATTCTTCTCAATATTTTGATCCCTTCACATCTCTTCAACAACTAGCATTCATTCATTCACTACCAAGGAAAAAAAGCGAATTTATCATTCGAGTAGTTGTTACCAATAAAAATTTTTTTTATTCTTTCATGTTTTCACTCTTGTCAAATACATAATTGCTTCTTTTTTTCAAATTGCTGTAATATATTCAGTAAAATACTCGTGAAAGAAAATATTTTATAATATGAAAATTTCAAGATGATAGTGTCATCTGTTGACCATGAATTGTATCGATCAATAAGGATGAACATGTGTGAAGTGAATAGATTTTTCAGTGATTTTTAGTCTTGATGTTCGTTGGAACGGCGAGAAAATTCAATTCCTCGCGTGAATATATAGAACCATGAGAACAGAATGTAAAAAACTTTAGTTCCTTAACATCTTTTCATTTGTAGCTTCATTTTATGAAAGTATTTCTATTTATAGAAATTAAAAAAATATGATGTTAAGATGTATTATACAGATATCATTATTCACACATATGTATTTGATTTCCATAAATGAATAATAAAGCCTATCGAATCGTTATTTCAAATTTTCTTCGCCATTAAAAATGTACAGACTCACAGCATACTATATGCCATTCCGATACAATCAACTTTTTACATTGTGATCTAAAGTTTGCCAAATTGAACAATACAATCAGACTTGTTTGTCAACATCATTAGAGAATTCATATATAATAAATAATCCATTCAAAAACTGAACAATTTTAGACAAACTAATATCATTAAAGTATAAATTAAATTAAAACGAAGAATATGATGTTAATAAAAGAGTTTGATTTTATCAGGAAATTGAAGTGTTTTATAAAAAATATTCAACTAGTAAAAAGTGAGTATAATAATTAAGTCTTGATTTTTTGGTTATATTTTTTCACACGTCTTCTATTCTATAGATTTTCTAGTCGCGAAATAAAGGTGATGTTAAATATTTTGTACCATTAGAAAAGGTATGCTGGTACGAAAATTCTCTGGAACAGTTCAACCTTTCAAAAACGTTCGACTAATTAACTATGAGAATCTAATGATTTAGATTAAAAAAACTGTCTACTATTGAATAGTATTTGGTATCAAAGTTATAATTTCAAAAGAAGAAAAAGGCTATCGAATTAATTTCGAATTAAATAGATAACAGCAAATTGTAATAGTTCATGAATTGTAACTAGAATGTATTTTGCAATTCGTTATGATATTAAATCATTTTTTCTATGACTGCAAATAAATAAAAACTTTAAAAGTTATCAAAGAAAAATTGTGAATTTTGATCTAATAATATTTTTTTCAATGGATGTTTGAATTCCAGAATTTTCAATTGAATCGATCTTGAAGATATTTCATCATAGTTTCGAGTAATATTTCAAATTATTGATAATATTAAGAAAATTTTTCATATATGAACAAACTAAAATATTCATTAAATTGAAGTCAATCCGATTTAATTATCAATCTGCTTGATTTGATCTACTCATTACGATTGTGTCGTTACCTGGAGGTCATTATAAATGCTGCATGAGTTTAATTAATTAGATAAAATTCTGTTAGAACAAAACAAATGATACCATACAATATCGATTTTCTTAGAAATCAATTAATAAATGTAAACGAGAAAAGAAGCTACCTATGAATCGAAAAACCGAGAGATCATAGGAAATCCTTTAGTTAGTTGTTGTTCATTCGATTGCTTTTGAACTCAAATAAATAAGATTATACAAATCTAAATCTTAGCAAAATCTTAACCATAATTTTATTATTATTTTGTTTGAGCTTTCTTGTTTCTATAGACTATGGATGGAAATAAGGCTCCAAACTATAACAAAGCATTTCCAGAAATTGATTACTGTCAATAAATTAATTCAAGATTCTCAAAATTTGCAAATGCATTTTCAATAACTTTATGAGTTGAAAATCGATACACTTTCTAAAGAACAGATACTTTTTTCCTCTTAATAGTGTTTAGATTGGCGATATGATAATTACAGTAGTTTTGTTTAACTGTTGGTTCAATAAAAACTAAATATTTGCTCGTTTATAGATATATTTATGCTACTCAATCTCATTTTTTTAAATCTTGTAAAGAGATTATTTCACAAAATTTGTAAAAGACGACGAAGAATTATTCAAAAAGAAAACAATTTGGAATCATTAATTACGATTTCAAGATTATGTTAGATAAAAGAATTTTGAATGTAACTATAAGATTTATTGATCAATAATATTTTATACTGAAATAAAAACAAACAATTTTATAAACGAATTAGCTTAATCAATGAGAAACGATTCTAAATTTAATTGATAAACAACGATATAGTTAAATAATATTTTTATTCAAATATGTTCAACTATGTTTATAATAATCGGAATATTCGATAGAAAAATTTTAAAGAGATTATTTTTTATTTTTTATGAAAATATTTTTTATCCTTGTGTTTCAAGTCTAAATTAATGGAATTTTAGTAACAGATACTATTTTCTATTGCAGTACTCCTATACATGGTCGAATATGAATATGAAATTTGCTAGGTGAGGTTGCTTCATAATCGTAACATGATTCATTTTTGTCAATTAATAAATAAAAATCTTATATAGTTTATATAATAATTCTCATTAATGAAAAGCAAAAGAAAAATCAATTGTATTTTTTTTTAAATATAGGTTTTGTTGGAAGTTGAAAATGTATCGATTCACATGCGTAGAATAACTTATTCAATTCAATGGAAAAATTCGCCACAATAAGAATGTGCAATTGGGAGCAGCACAAAATTATTTAAATACTACTTTGATTCAAAATAGGTTAAAACAAAATAAGATTTGATTATGTTATCAATTAATAACAAATAGAAATTCATTCTGAAATTATAAAATAATTCTATTCGTAATTGTGTAGAAGAAATAATCTATATGATTAAAACACAGTTTTACTTTTTACAATTTTCCTTTTCATGCTGTTTTTTCTAGTGTAATATTATTTAATATCTGCTTTGAATTAATAAACCAAAAGAGAACTATGATTCTGATTCTGATTCTGATTCTGATTGCTACTCGATGACACGTTACGATGACTAATTTTTATAATGTCGAAACATATAAATTGATTGTTAATAAGCATGAAAATGTTTTTACAATCAATTTAATACGCAGATTAAAATCTTTCTTGTCTGTGATTTGCTTTTGGTTGCAAGTCAATAGCTATGACTTTTCTCTTTTTCTTTATCAATAAAAGTAAAGTGCAATTAAGCAAAAAACAAAGAAATCATTATTTATCTTTATTTTCATATATGTTTAATAATTAAAGATATTTGACAAACAATTCTAAGGAACAAAAAGAAATTTTTAATTATCAAATGGAAATTTAATGAAAGATATTAAATGTCGGTAAAAAATCTAATTGAAATCAATGTTAAATAAAAATCAAAAGTTCAATTAAATAAAGAATATTTATTAAATCCATGGATAATTTCTTTTCGAATATTAAGTGGCATATTGCTCAATAATCAATTGACTTGCAAATTTATTTTTCTATACGTGTGTGTGTGTGTTGAATAGATGAAGACGATACTAGAATCAGCTCTGTCAATGATGATTATCATCGGAACAAACACATTTAGAATCTATTATCTATCTGATATGCTTTTTTTTCTTTTACTATGTCTGATCAGTCTTTTCTTCGTCTTCTTTTTTTTTTCTTCTATATGTGTTATCTATCGGAAGGCGCGTCGAAATGACAGTTAATTCATTATTAATTTGGCACTTTGTATGTAAATAAATAATGAGCTTTGCTCTTTCTCATTCGTTCTATTCGGCTTTTTCTTATTCTTCTTTTTCGATTATTTATTGCTCCTTTGTGTGTAATAGAAAGAAATCCCAAATGTCAGATTGAAAATAAACCAACAAAAAAAAAGAAAAAAGGCGAGAATGAGTGTAAGTATATTTAAGAGAGAGAGAGAGAGAGAGAGAGAGAGATGGTTGATGGAGTAAGCACGACGCATGATGATGATGACCATTTAATAATCGATGCACACACGCACGCATAAATTGAATCACCTCATCAAACGACCATCAATTATAAATGTGTGTTGTTTTACTAGTCATCATTTGTTGATAAAGAGAAAAAAAAATAGTCATTCTTGTTAAAGTTAAATTGGGCAGCCTGTCAAAACGATGAACACAAATGCCTTCTGCTATGAAAATGACTTGATTGAGTATTCGATTTCAGATTGAAATTCTCTCTTATTAACAACAAAGCATTTCAAATGATTCATTCGTCGTTCGATCATTTTTTTACCTCTTGGGTCAATATCGAAATTTGAAATCTGTATGTAAATAATAATTTTTGATGTCGTTCTACAACGATTAAATAGTGTGTACACATCATTCACATCTATGACAGATTGTCTTAATTATATTTACTCAATTTTCTTTTTCTATTCTCAAAAAAGAAAAAAACTTTGCGTGTTGTGTACCAATGCCAAAACAATATTTAATTGGTTCGGTCACAATATAATCTAAATGAGACTCCCTCTTGATTTTATTCATCAACATTCTCAAATAATTGACACTTTCATCGATTAATTTTACCTCCCTAATCATTACAATCTATACAATTCAATTGATTTTTATCAAATATAAAATAAGTTTCTTTCGATAATCGACGATTAGTGTAGACAAATAAATAAAAGGTTGATTTGTTTTTGTATTATATTGGGTCCCTTCAATTATTCATATTCATTTCGCAAAACCAAATTATATTCATTTGACGTTTTGATCTTGGGAAGAAAAAACGTGTCTCTTATTTAACAATATATTAATACAATAGATTGAAGTACGAGTTATATTCTCTTTGTTGATTGTCTTTACCCGGTGTCGTGTATCGATTTTCAAGGCAAAAATTTCCTTTTTCTCTTTCAGTTTCTCGATCGATAATAAAAAAAGAGCCAATCAATGAATAAAACAAATGCAATATGATTGGTTAAGATGAATCAATTTTTTTCCCCGACTCTCTTCCTTCTTTTTTTCGCTCTCTCATTTTTCTCTCTATGTGAATTCGATAGAAATAACATAAATATATTTTATTAATAGTCGTTTATTTCAAAGGTATAGCAAGGTTTGTTCTTTATCGATAATAAGCAATTTGTATTTGAATAATTGAAAAAAAAACAGAGAAAGCAATGTCGGCAAGTCCATTCAATAGAAATAATTCTTCGTCGATGTTTTTAAATCTTTCAACAAATAGTCCAGCAACTAATTTTTATAATTCTCAATTTTATTCCAATGCATTACGAAATCATTTTTTATCTCCATTTCTGCTACAACCATTAATTCCAACAAAACCCAATTCTCTGTGTTTATCAATTCAAAATGAATCATCGTCTCCAATACATTTATCATCTTCACCATCAACAACAAAAAATAACTCAATTGATGAACAAGATCAAGGTATAATTAAATTCTTTTTCTTTTTCTTTTTAATTAAATTTATGTTCTTGTTTTCTTTCTCTATTTTTTAGGATCAAATTTAAGTGAAGATGAAAGTAGTACGGATCGAGATAGTAAGCGCAGACGAACACGAACAAATTTCACAAGTGTCCAAATTGATGAGTTAGAAAGAGCTTTTCAAGATGGTCAGTGTTTAGATGAAAAAAAAATGAAATTCCTGTTTTTTCAATCGAGTTTCTCTCTTTTCTTTTGCTTCCAACAGGTCATTATCCAGATGTTTACATGAGAGAAGCATTGGCAATGAGACTTGATTTAATTGAGTCAAGAGTTCAAGTTTGGTTTCAAAATCGACGAGCTAAAGTATATTTTATTTTCATTTATTATCAAAATTAAAATAAACCTTCTTTTTCTTTCGTTTTTCTTCAGTGGAGAAAAATGGAAAATACAAAGAAAGGTCCAGGTCGTCCTCCACATAATGCTCATCCTACAACATGCTCAGGTGATCCAATATCAGAAGAAGAATTAGCTAAAAAACGTTTAGAAGCCGAAGAAAAAAAACGTAGAAAACAAAGTGAAAGACAACGTAGACAAGAAGCCAAAAAATCTTCGAATCCAAATTCATCTTCTGATTTAACTCAAACAAATTCAAAAATTTCAACAAGTGATTGTAATTCATCTTCATCATCATCATCTTCATCGTCATCGATATCTCCAGCTACAAATAAATGCTCATATTCTATTGAAAGAATTTTATATCAATCATTATCGTCAAATGGAAGTTTAAAAAGAAAATCGAATCATTCAACAAATTCTTCTTCAGTTAAATCCAATCGAACAACAACACCACCACTACCAGTACCACTATCACTGCCGCTATTACTACCACCACCACCTCCACCACCACTAGCAGCAACAACAATAATAACGCCACCAACTACTACAATAATAAATATTGATGATGGAAAAGTTCCACAATTATAAAAATAAACGGAAACACGAAAGAAGAACAATAACAAGAAAAATAAGAAATTATTTTCTTCTTCCATTTATATAAAACAAAAACAAAACCCGGTTTTTATAGAGATAAAAAGACTCCAAATAATTATTCATTTTGTTGTATAAATATTCAATGATTATTTTGCTCGTTTTTTTCTTATTGTATTCATACAGATAAATAAAACAAAAAAAAACTCTTTTTCAAAACAAAATTCGTCAGCTGATGTTTAATAAAAAATTTTTACTTTTAAAAGTTTCTTTTCCCACATTAAATTTGTTTTGTTTAAAGTCAATGAACAATTGTCAATGATATCGGTCATCGTTACTCTATCTTAATAATGCAAACAAATTTTCTCGTTTCATTGCCTTTCTTTCGTTTTCTTATTCTATGTGTGATCGTCGAACTGATTTAGTAAACGGATCAATCATAAAATGTATAGCTACCCAACAAAAAGCAAAAAGAAAAAGAGCCTGTCATCATCGAACGATTGAAAATAAACACTTCTACAGATGAGACACAAAAGCGATATAACGACAACGACATGTTCTACACCAATATTACAGATTATAATCGATCACCTTTCTATCTCACATTTACCAATCATAATCAAAACGATTCGATTGATCATACACACACACACACTCTCTCTCTCTCTCTTTCAATACGATACAAAGGATATAACTAATAAATCGAATAGATACTTGATACTCGCATACATAACATTATAACAAAAGAGAAAAAGAGAATATTGACATATATATATATATATATATATATATTTTTTTTTTGCAATCGAATATGATTTGAATAACTGATAGAATTCTTCTTTTATTTTGGTAAATGTTTCTCAGTATTTGTTAAATAATTTTCTAATGATGGATGTGCCTTAAGGACAAATAACGTTTTCATCTTTTTTCTATCATTTAATCATTGAATTTCTCTTTTTTATTTCTTTTCTTCATAATCGAATCAAGCACACCAATAAACACGAAAAGCTCTAAGTGCATCATTATAATGACATGCCAATGAACTAAACGCGCGACAATCATTAAAAACAACGCCTACCACCTATACATACTCAATAACTATAAACCAGATCACTCATGATGATGATGATGATGATGATCATCATCTGTATATATATATATATATAAATATGTATTGATCTTTTTCATAGATATGTCTTTTGTTTTGTTTTTATTTAAAATTGACCTAAAGGTAAAATAGAAAAAACCGTAAAGGGCTGGATAGAACAATCAATAATTGTATACGATATAAAAATGCACGGTATTGTTGTATAAACACATATTAGTTAGAAAAACAATTTTATTCTCGACAATGACAACATTACTTACGGAAACTTGATTAATTTCCGTAACTGATGGTGGAACGTGTGTGTACTGTTTTTTTTCTCCTCACTAAATCAATATTGAATGAGAATGACGACAATCAAATTCTTTATTCTTTTACTTTAATTGAAGATTTTTCTTTAATGGTTTATATTTTATTTCAATGAAGAAAAAAAGCGAAAAATCGATAAAACAAAAAAAGAAAGAAAAAAAGAAAGAAGACGAAGATGTCTGATCATTTTTAATCTAGTTAATGTATTTTTGATGGACACATGAGATTATTTTAGTTGACATTAATTAAATGACAAGTTAAGTCTATCAAATAATTATTTGAATAAAATTTAAATGTTTATTCACAATCATAAACAAAACTAAACAAAATTTCTATTTAACAAATAAAAATTTGAGATGTTTATTAAGTAATTTCTATTTATCTGAACATAAGGTATCCTAATTTGATCAATGTTACATTCAATAGATCATATATCACACCAAAAAATTATATTTACATTTGTCAACAATAACTTCTCAACTTACAATATCACTATTATTTTTCATTGAACAAACTAATTCTGATTGTTACTTTCGCGTTTAACTAAACTTTAGAATATCGTTTGTAAAGAAAACAAGAAAAATATTTGTTTTAATTCTTAATTAGAGTTTTGATTATTTCCGTTTTTATATCAATTGAAGATTCTATTCACAGTTTCTTTTTGAAAATATTTCTTATCTTTAATTTCTTCATAGAAAAATTAAAAATTAAAAGTAAATAAATAGATTTGATTTGATTTATTTTTCAAAAAGATAAGGATACAAAGTAGTATTAATTAAATTAAACAATTGATGATTTAGGCCTTGAGGTGAAATTAAGAACTGAAGTTATTCTTAAATATTTTAGACTAATACATAAAATAAAAGAATTCATTAATATTTTATCTTAATATGACTTATCATTTTTAAAAATATTATTGATTTATTTTTTGCTTTACTAGAGTTTTTTTTTATAACAAACCATGTATGCAACGATACTATTGAAGTAAAATTATTTATGACCATCAAAATTTCGTATTTTTATTGTAGAATACTCTTGTGACGTATGATTGCCTCAATCTATAAAAACTTATTTATCTTAATGATTTTTGTGCTCATTTTAATTTTTAATTTTCCTATTTACAATAATGCTAATAACTTTTAATTATTACTATCGATTATTAAGTAATTTGTACTTCAATGAATCCATCAATAGACATTGAAAATAGATTCTATGTTACAGGAAATAGACAAGATAGTACAAATATTTTTCTATACTTAATAAATTAAAGATAAAAACGATTTTAAATCTTTCAGAATACAATGAGAGAGGAATTTTAAGGATACTGAGTACAAAACTACGAATTTTTCTAAAATTTATATTAGAAATAACTAAAGTCAATTAGATGAGAAAAACATAACAATAATTTATTTAGATTTACAATGAAATTAATTTGTTGCCATTGAATTCAATGAATGGATGTTTTCGATTAAATAATTTTCGAATGACTTGACTAAATTTTGAGAACTATTCTTAACATAAAATTCAGTAGGTTTTTACTATCTTTGCAACTTAATTCCTTAGATTAAAATCTTGTAAAAAGTTTCTTATTATAGTGATAACAAGAATTGAATAGAGTCGAACAATTTTTATCCTCGAAAAATAAAATGATATAGGAAATAAATTAAATTCATTATTAAACTAAAAAAGTCAAGTTTATTCCCATGTACTGGAACTTCTTGAAGTGTATTATTTATTCACATAGATATTTAATTATACGGTTTAGCTTGAGAGCAGTATTCATTCATGTCTCATGATTGACTTGGTAGTGAATTTATATTTATGTAGAGATAAGAAATATTGTTCAACATAAAAAATTTACTCAATTTTTATTCATTATAGAAAAATCAAAATGAAATGATTTACTTCTCAGTAGAAAATTTATTAATAAAGATTGCAATCTAATGAAATATATGTTCAAATTTGCACTAGGAGTAGTTGCCTGATTCGACTTCGAATATAAATGAAATTTTCCGAAAGTCCTATTGTGCACAGGCAAAAGATAAAGATAAATCTTGCCGTACTTATAAACCTTACAATTCGAATTGAGGCACTAATATAAGTCCACTCGCACAGTTACGAAATCCCTCGCTGCACTCACCGGTACACAATGCTCCCTGCACACTCATCAGTGCTTCCGCGGTACCCACAGTTGCGCGATATATGAATACTTTATTCTAGGAAGAATGTTCATTGTTATCGCACGTAATCAGTAAACTGCTTCAAATAACTATGCTACGATCACACGTCAGTTTCCAGCAACTCATATCAATATGTTACCGAACTGCCTACGTTCACTTTTTGCATGATTTAGATGTCTTTGACTATTCGTAAGATTGCTTATAGCATTGCTGATATTGGTAGTAACAGTTCCGAGGATGATAGTAGCATACTGTGAGTCTTAATAGCATTTCCATGATTGCTAGTAAGACTCCGGAGAGTGCTTGTAGCATACCAGAGCATGGGACTCGCTTTCTACAAAAGAAAACTAACTTGCGCAAGATAACTTTTGGGTTTGGGTGAAAACGCTGCAGTTATTGGCAGGTGGGTATGTGATACCTATTATGGCCTTCCACTTTGAGACCATCGGCGAATGAAATGAGGATCGAGTTGGTTGTGTGTACGGAGACCTTTTTTGGTCGCGGCTCTGCGGAGGACTCTTTGCGCACCCACGCCGTGACGCTTAAAAAAAGTGTATGTAACTAATGTGCTGAGTTTGGCTAAGGCTCTCGTCATGTTAATACTAAAAATCACAGCAAATTGTTTTGCTATGACGAAATGGAGTGGGGGTTGGTTGAGCGAATAGTAAAATCTGTAAAACTATGATAAAAGCGTACAGCCCCATTGCGGCAGATGGTAAACTTACCCTATTATCATATTGACGTGTGACAAAATGCTGCATTGCGCTGCTAGCAAACATGAAATCTTTAGCTAAAAGCGTACTCCATGTTGCACTGCACTTCAGTCAGCAACTATTTTTACAATATAGAAACCTATCCGGTCATTCAGATGTGTTGTGCACAATATGTAGCAGTTATCCTCTACGAAACAGTTTCATTATTCTGTTAGAAGCGTGTCGGAAGTGTTGTTGTTGATTCTACAAAGTTTAACTAATGGACAGGTTGTGGCCTGGCTCAGTAGTCGAGCAAGCGCACTTTAAAATTTGCACTTTTTGAAGCGCCATCCAGTGATGCCTCAATTCGAATTATAAACTTTCGAATTAGGATAAATTTTATACTTTTGCTTTTTTGCCTCACTTATATGACAGCTAAAGTTTGAATTATAAAATTTATATTTAGGATAAAATTTTATCTTTTGCTTTTTGTTGTAAGCATATGAGTGTTGGATTTTTATTTTCGAATTGATATTGTGTAGTTGAACCTTCATTTATATTCGAATTCGAATTAAGCATCTCATGCTAAATTTCGTGATTAGCAGCATCTATTGGATGCTAAGTATACTAATCACGATACCTTATATCTCGTTGGTCTTCTGTAGTTCGAAATAAACTCGGAAAATAGCGAGCACAAAGAAAATTTCTTTTATGTATCTAGTAAACCAAATAACTATCATGTTTGAGTTCACATATAGAGAACGTTGAAAGTCTGTGCTGAACTTTGAGAACATCAAAATACAAGAAAAGGGAAAATAAAACTGGTCAATAAATAGAACCATAAATAGAGTAATAGCTTTAATGTAATATTATTTTCTTTGATACTAGATAGTTCTTTCTCTACAAAATACTATATGAATTTACAGACAATCAGGGACGAGCTGGGAGTGACTAAAAAGAAGACAGGGACGAGTTAAGGAAAATTTAAATTCGGACGTATTGGGTATGGGACCAATCGGGACTAAACCAATTTAATTAGATTTTATTTCTAAATAAAAATCAACTATTTTAAAATCAAAAATTCATTGAAATATTTCTCTATCTATTAAAATGATTTTATTTATTGATTGATAGTTTATAATAAACATCAATTCTAAAAATAAATTCTCATTGAGCCTTCAAGAGTTAACCTTGATTTTCAATTGTTCCTTGCATTATTTTATTCTCCCGCTCACCTTGATCGAATTTTTCAATTTGTACTCTAAAATAAATTTCGTTTTATTATAACATCAATATCAGAATTTGTTTATCAATGTAAAAAAAATAAAAGTGAAGATCAAACAATTTTTATCTAATTTCTTTCATTGAGAAAAATTTATCAAGTCTAACATTTAGTAGTACCAGGTCTGAAATTGAATGCACGAAAAAACAAATTTGTAAGCTTTCTTCAGTGTTTTGTTATTCAAATACAAATTAGATTTTTGTTTTAAAAAATAATGTTGAATCAAATGATAATAATTTAAAAAATTATATTAAAGAAGATTCTCTCTATCTTTATTTATTTCAATAGCAATAATTAAATTGATCTTAAGATTTTTTTAGCTATTCTTATGTTGATATCTTTAATGATGCAAAATTTTATTTTCTAGAAAATCTAGATCTTTATGAGAAAATCCAACTTATGAGTTGACATTTTTATTATTTAATAGGAGATATAACGAACATTTCGGTTAAAGTATTTGATGATAAACAAATGAATACGAATTATTTAGATTTTTTTATACTAAAAATATTCGAATAATCTATTTAATCAAAATAAGATTTTTTTTGTATAAGAATTTCTGAATTCGCCAAAAGAACAATGTTCTTTTTAGTAGTATCTAAATTGGACAGTTGCTTGCTTTCTTTTCTTCTTCTTGAATGTTCCTGTATATGATCTGTCTCTCTGTTTTCTGAATATGTCATATTATGACATGTTTCCTTCTTTCTTCATCGATCTTCAGAAAGAATAAGAAAAATTGTTGGATTATCCAAGAACAACAACAACAAAAAACAAATCTTAACGGCAATAATGTTGATGATGTTGGCTAAAAGAAGAAGGATGCTGATAACAACAAGAAAAGAAAAGGATAATAGACAGTAGGGAAGAAGACATTATCATTGGCACGTCCTTCTTTAAAGAGAAACACCAACTCCAACCAACTCCAACCAACTCTTATTTATCTATAAACAAGACATACTAACTGATTACCTCTTTGTTTATCTATATAAACATAAATATAGTGAGTACAATTACGATATCGACAAACATTTCGAATTTACATTCATTCATTTATTTACTTATTTCATTGTTTAATAGAATCCAATTTTCACTCAGATTTACTCAAAAAGATATATGAATAAATCCTCTAGTGATTACTAGTATCATTCTTGCATTTATGTATGTATAATATAGGAAAATTAATAAGTATCGTAGAATCAAACAGAAAAGAGAAAGAACCAGTTTTAATGATAATTAAAATAATGATCTTGATGACGATATTTCATTGATTTTAATATACGCTCATACGTCACGAAAGATTTAATCTATTTATCATCTATTAAATTGTACACATTCTTGTGTCATCTAAGCAGGTGATATGGGACAAAGGATAAAAAAATAATTGATTTCTTTGCCTCCGTTGGCGAGAGAGCCTAATCGTTCGATCTTAAGTTCAAAGCATGCCATTAGAAAAGACTGGCAACTCCCTTTTTCTTTGTATTTTGATCGATTGATTATGCAATGCTTTTCATTGCTCACATCAGATTATTGAAATCTAATGAGAATAAATGTATGCCACTAGATCAAGCAAAATAAAAAAAGGTACAAAATGCTGAGGTAACCAAAATTAGATATTCAGTTAGTCTTCTTTTTATTATTCTTTGTTTTTGTGTCGATTGATGAGAAACAGTCGTTATTACTTCTTCGTCATATTTTACAATGTTGTTTTATTTTTAGTATTGCACTTCTATAAAATGATGAAGGGCAAATAGAAAACGTTTCTTTTTCACTATTCTTCTTGCAATATATAGGTATAGTTCTTTTCTTCTGTTTACTTTATTAGAAACTAAATTCTGAAAAGCGAGTATTTTAATCCTCATTAAATAGTTCTTGTGAGGCGACTTTTTTTCTCGTGAAATTACTTGCATTCATTTTAAGAGAACTGATCATCAACAGAATAAAAATAATTAAGTCGAATGGATTCGTCTATTAAAACATAATTGAAATGATATATATTGAATGTTATTTTTTCAGAACTGAAATATTTTGATAAGTAAAAAATTTAGATTATTGGTAAATAAAATTTAGATGTGATCATTGCCAGTAAATTTTTACTCAACAGAAATATACTCAAGTTGAAATTCAAACTCAAATACTAATTAAATATCTTTCTTTTGTTCTGATTTGCAAGTTTTTTTCCATTCCAAAAGACATACACACCGAAATGCACATTTCCGTCTACATAACCTCATTGTGTTAATTGGAAAAAAAGATTGGCATCGAATGTCATCATATGCTAATTCTTTCGTCCATTTTCATATTAGCTTTTTGTTCTAGACATTATACTCTTGCAATTTTGTACATAGAAAAGGAGCAATTTTTACTTCTACTCTTTCTTTGCCCTTCGTCACCATCAACTATAATTGACTTTCTTCTTCTAAAGCTTGAACAAATACAATGTTCTTTTTCTTTCTCTTTATTATTAGTAGTTCATTCTAGTTAGATAAATAAATAATCACATTCGACTGAATGAGAGAAGCACATGTACTTACTAATCGTTCTCCGTACCACCAGTTGTTACGAGTAGAAACTCTTTATCTGCATTGAATTATGTCTTGTGATCATCTGTTTACAGATGATACATTTGTCATCTAGAGAGAATAACAACATTTGATATTGACATGTGTATTCAAGGTTAATTTTTCTTTCAACAAATCAATTTATTTATTTTTCTCATAGAAATAATAAATATATTGTGAGAAATTTAGATCAATTTTTAACTTTATAAAATAATCTAAAATATTATTTTATCTTTGGATTAATTATTGCATCATTCATATAGTTTAAGTCTATGTTGAGAGATATCGTACAATCGAAAATCAATATGAGATTTTCTTAAAAACTCAAATGATAACAAAGCTCTGTTTTATTCTAGTAATAAATTTGTTGTTAAATTGTATCGAATACAAAATTCTGTTATTTCATTTCATTTTCGATTTGCCAATAATTCAAACGTATGAAAAACTAAATCAATTAAAAAGTTTCTCATTAAATGAAGTGTTTTTTTTCATTCTTATTTGAATGTTTGTATTTGTTCAAGTAGACTTTTTAAAATCACTTTTCAACGTAGAAATAAAAACATAATATATAGACGAAGTAAAAAAAAAAGACTTCCTATCAGATGTATAATCGATAGTAACGACGAAGTGAGTCGATAGACTAGGGCTGCTAGCTAGCGCATTATGGTTGTGTTTTGTCGATTATTTCCTATTTTGACACCTTTCTCTTTTTTGTTCTTCTATAAATAACAGTAGATATCGATAAAGAAGAAAGAATAGAAATACAATCAATAAATAGAACGTTATTGTTTCTGCCTGTTTTTCAGAAAAATCGTATTATCAATAGGAAGACGATGCATCATGAATATTTGTCTTATTCTTTATTTCTTCAAAGCTAAAGTAAAAATAAAAATGATTTGATTCTGCAGTTTTTTGCCTTTTTCTTTCTAGAAAAACTTTAATGTAAATAATGACAAAAACTAAAAAAATTCTAATTCCTCGATCAAGTGATTATTCAGGTGGTGGTTTTGGTTTTACTATTCGTCACTTTGTTATTTATCCGCCATCATTTTCTGTCAATGACATTTTACGGGTAAGATTTTATTTGGAACTAAAAATCATTTCAATTGAATTGATTATTATTTTAATTAAAAAAATGCAAAACTATTTAGATCTGAGAAAACAAAATATCGAGTAAATTTCATTTTTCAATTAATATAGATCTTTCATTCGTTTCTATTCGTAATGCACAAAAATATCGTTTCAGTTTTTTAATTTTATTTATTCTAATCTATCGAGAAAATAAAATAAATAACTAAACGGAACTAAACTAAACTAAACAAGGCAGAATTTATTTATTTGTATTCAACCATAACTAAACTCTATTGGATTGCTTATCTTAATAGCGACAGACTAACATCTTTTCTACATTCATTCTACAACAGAATTAACGAGTGTCCTTCAGACCAAGAAGAAACGACTGACGTCATTTTATAAGTGTCGAAGGTTAAGACTAACGTACTTTATGTAATCTGATAGGCCTCGTACAGTGTGGTGATCGATGAACATCAGCAAAAGCAATTGGAAGGAGGTGGAGGAGGAGGAGGAAGAGGAGGAACAACATCATCAATAGTTCCTTCTGGTATTTTATCATCATCATCATCGGGTAGTTTCATCCATCATCAAGGAGAACAACAACGATCGTCATCATCATCTTCTACTATGAAAATTATCGGAAACGGTAAGTAGAAAAAGGACGATAAAAAGACAAGGAAAAATCTAAGCAAGAGAAGAGGAAAAAGAAAAAGAAGAACATATTTGTTAGACGTCTATGTCCCATTTTTTCTCTTGCTTATTGATTGATGATAGACGTTCTATGTTATAAGGAAAGATTTGTTTTTGTTACAGATAATATACAAGAAGATGGAACAACAGTGGTAAATAGTTCAAACCAAAATCTCCAATCAATCGATACAATTTTTGTTAAAGAAGTTCGACATGATGGTCCAGCTTACGCAGCTGGTTTAAGGCAAGGTGATCAAATATTAACTGTTAATGATCAATCAATTAATGGAAAAACTTATTCACAAGTTATTGCTATGATACAAAATGCGTTAGTTTTTTTTCTCTTTCCTAACATATTCCCTAGAGAAAAGAAAAAGATAATCGTCCTGCTATTTTTTTTCTTTTTCTAGTCCTGCTGATCTTGTTCTCAATGTTGTACCAAAAGAAGACCATCATCGTACAGTAGTATGTATCTTTCTCTTTTGCTTGTTTAGTAATATTACTATTATTATTTTTTTTTTTATTTTTATTATTATTATAAAAGAATTCAACAGAAAATGTTTATCATGATTTAAATTCAAGTGAATCGCGATTAAAATCAAACAATTTTTCTCCTTCATTGATATATCGTCCTTCAACAACGACAATCATGTCAAATAATAAAATTGAACAGAAACTAAGAAATTTACAGATTAATTTAGCTCAAGGCCGAACACAAGAAGAACTTGCTCAAGTTGGAATTTATTTTCCTCCACCAACATCATCATCATCACCACAACAACAACAAAATGCTTTTTCAAATTATATTGAGTCAGTCCATAAAGCTTTAGATTCATCTAAACAACAGCAACAGCAACAGCAACAGCAACAGCAACAGCAACATCAACAGCAACAGCAACATCAACAACAACAAACAAAACAATAT